AATTTTGTGAATAATCTATCATGCATTTGAAATTGTAAATTTATTATGGCAATATACACGTTTCCATGCTAACAACGATGGTTCTAAGGATTTGGGCTTTTATATTCAAAATATTAACTTGTTGTGTAGTTAACGGAATTTTTAGAACAATAATTTTTACATTTTTCAACTATCCAATATGTGTTTAATTGATGTAATTAATACTTAATAAAATAATTCTACAAGTTAAAGTACTCGATAAAATTTTATAAATTGAAGTGTTTTAATAGGTCAAAATAAAATTTAAAGGTGCTATGAAATTTAAAAAAAAAAAAATTAAGGATGTATATATGTATTCGGCTGATACTATAGTTATGCTCTAGTTTAAACATACTTCTTAACTAGGCATCGATTCGATCCGAGATCTTGGAATTGGATGGAAGTGCGACGGGTTTTCATGGTATCTGAATCTCAAAAATCCATTTAGAATATGTTTTGGTATTTGATTAAATGGGTTTGAGACAATTACATGTATCAAATTAATTGCCCATCACGAGTTTAAATTGGGTATGATTTTGCGGATATCCTCTACCCATCAAAATTCATTATATAATTTGTTAATATAAGTTCTTATTGGGCTAAAATTAAAATAAATTAAATCCAAGCTCAAAGCTCCAAACCTTAATATTATCAAATATTAAAAAAATTAATTACTTAAATAAAATATTAAGCAACTATAATTTATTTTCATCTCCATCTTTTAAGTCTCAACCAACATCAACTATAATGGACTTGGTGGTACTGCACATATAGGCAGAGTGGATTTTCGTGAATATCCTACCCACCCTAATTCATTTAAATCAAGTTTGAATATTAATTAAATGGGAATAGAGCGAGGGTGATTATTAAAGTTTTACATGATGGGTATTTCAAAAGAAATTTTAAATGGATTTGGAACCGACTCGCGTAGTGTGAAAAGTGCAAATTTTACAGGTGTCCATCTAAGTTCCATCCATTTTCTTAACACAATTTACGAACTATACACTTCAAAGCCCATTTTACTTAACAGATAGAAAAATTATTTATAAAAAATGTAAGGGAGAAGCATCGAAATAATTATTTGTCTATATTCAAATTGTTGGGCTTAAACTTGTCAATATTCCATCATTATCAAAATAACTAAAATTAATTAATTACGTACTGCAATATTTATATATCATTTACATTTTGCATAGAGGTTTTACATGCTTATGGATTATATCCATGAAAAGAATATTCAACTGCTTTTAAACAGGAGATAACTATAAATAACTAAATTAGATTAATCTCATATGGAAAAAAGAAGACAAAAAAGTTCTTTTAATAATAATAATAATAGTAATAAAGAATTATTTGTTCATATATTTGATTAATGAAAAATAAAAAAAATCATACTTTGATTGCTCATAATGAATGAGATTTTTTATTTTAATTCAAGCAATGAATAGTGTTAACTTGGAAATCATATAACTTAGATTAAAAGATTTAAGTATTAACAAATTTCTTTTACTTTTTAATACCTGAGGGGAATATTCTTGAAAATGAAATTTCTTTTAACAAAAAAAAAAAAAAAGAATTTATGATTTAATAATACTAAACTAGATAGTTAATTATAGAAATTAGTAAAAGAAAGTCCAAATCCAAGTAAAAGCTATTCTTTGAAATTGCCTTTATAAATCATTAAATATTTGCTTCTATTTTTAATTAAAAATTGGTAAAGAAAAGAGTTATTTATATATATGGTACAAATATATGTGCTAGTGAAGTATTTTTTCAATTAATAAAAGTTTTTTTTTTCTTAGTTTTATCTTTTAGGGTTTAACACTGCAATAACGCAATTAAAAAAAAAAACTATTTATCAATTAATTCTGGTTACGTTTTTCCTTTTGAATGTAAAGTGTGGACTTACAAATTGTGGGTCTGAGCCCAAGTCTTTAAAGCAGGCCAAGCCCATTGGGATACACAATAAAAGAGTCCAAGACCAAGTGGTGCCTGTTTGCTAAAAAGTCCAGAATTCTAACAAGTGCTTTGTGGATTTAAGGTCAATCCTCTCATAATCGTGAGATAAAGTTGAGCAAGAAAAGGAAGAGCTAGAAGCCAGGGAGATGGAGCTCTGAGACCTATACCTTTCTGAAGATGAAAGAGAGAACGCAACCAAGCATTGTTGGTCCTTCTATTTGTCATATATATATCTGCTTAATGACAAAAGTTGGGCGTTGCTTGCTTCCCATTCAGAGAGTGACAGGGAAGAAAGAAAACAAATTTTGCTGCTTTCATCTTCACAAGCTCTTTGTCGTGTCACTTTCCAATTTTTAAAACAGGAGGGGAAAAAATCATAGAGAAGAAGTAAAACTGAAGGGAAACCCACATAGAAGGTTCAGTGGTTTTACGTGGAGAGTCATGAAACGTTATTTGACTTATTATTTCACAACGTTACAAAACAAGCTTCACTAGACATTTCCCTCTAAGGTAACTGCCTAAAATCCGAAATATCAAGATACAAGATCTAACTCTGCTAAACCAGAGTCCTGTGCTTTCCCTAATTCAAGAACAAAACCTACTTTTTGTGCCATTAATTATTTCTCATCTTATTATTTGATATTTCACAAAGTGAAATGACTTCAATCTCTTAGTTATCAATATTAACTATTGGCACCGATCACTTTGGTAAATAAATTTTACTACTCGTTTAATCTCTTTTCCAACACAATTTGATTAAGAATAATTTATTCGTTTGGAAGCAGCCAAAGTTGATCTGTAGTCGTATCATTATGCGCCACGTCATGTACATGAGCCAGTAAATTGCCACGAAAATGCTTTTTCAACGGCTAAAAAGGGTTTCCTGCGAGGTCAATTCGGTACCTTTCGGATTTGGAGCTTTCATAAATCTGCACCAGTTTTCATCCTAAACTGCAACAATGCCACGCATTTTGCTTAGCTACTACAGCTAGCTGGATTTGGATTTTTCTTTTCTTTTTACATTTTAAGAATAATTCTCTGTTGGGTGCTTTTCACCTTTTTGTTTTTCTTTTTTCTTTGGTTTGCCTTTTAAAGGAATTAGGTGCTGTGTGGGGTTTAGTGTCCATTAGAAAATGCTTTAATTTTTTCTTATCACTATATCGTTGAAACAACTGTGATTGAATGGATTCAAATTCAAAATCTTTCACTTTTCACTTCTCACATAAGTGAAAAGATTGATCAGACCACCATCTTATTGTGATAGCACATAAATATAGTTAAAGACTCAGAATTACATCTTAAAATAAAACTTTTTGAAATTAATTTCATGCCTCAGTTTAAATTGAAAAAAAAAACATGGAATTAGGACAACGAGTGAAGTTTAGAGATTTTTGCACTCTAATATTAGTTAATCAATTTTAAATTTATTTGTAATAACTTTTTCAATAATTTTAATAAAAAAAGTTGTTGATTTTCACGTATATTTTTCAAATTTAAGGACATTTTTCATTTATTTTTATTGTACTATACTACTATGTACCAAAAGTCTTTGGTCTTGCTCATGGAGAAAGAAGCAACCATTCATCAGATTATTAATATATCTATGATTATAAAATAGATTTACCTTCCACGTTATTAATATAATTTTAAGCTTAGATTATAAGGAGCTAAAGATTTTTTTTTCCTTACTAATTATTTTTTTTATCAATTATTATTATTTTTTAAATTGGTGTTAATAGTACAATCACTAAATCTAAGTCGAGGACTTGTTAATTAAGAGTTGGGCTTCTTGGTAAATGAGTTTGTTCCAATTTATATACCTTCGTTGCAAAATTTAAGTAATTTTTGGGTAATTATTCTTTCCCAACGTATAAGATATTTTAAGTATTTTAAAAAGTAAAAAATAATATATTTTTAATGTTAATCTCTATATATATTAGATACAATAATTATCGTCATAATAATAATTTCATCAAATACTCTTAATTTTGTTATAATTTAGGAGAATTAAATATTTCTTCTTTAATATATGTGCAAAAATCATAAATGATGTATATTTTGAAACAGATGAAGGATTTAGTTAATGATATCTGCGTGTTGCTAAAAAAACGAAAAAAGACTAAATTTTTGTTATTTAGTCTGACATTTTATTCTACTGTTACTTAATTCTTGCATTTTGACTAAATAATTAGATTGGCTCTAATTTTTAAAGTTGTTAAACTATTTAGTCCTTACATCGAAAGTGACATTTTTGCTGGTAAACAGGAAATTATATAATAATGTCGTGTTAAATGTAGGGGACTAAATATAGTAATATTATATTAAATGTGAATTACTAAATAGCCAAATATCATAGTCTGTATAAAGGGAAAATGAATAATTTGTGGACAGAAAGACCTCACAATAATATTAGAGACTTTTATAATAATTTATGTCAAGAGTAGGGATGAAATAATAATATCAATTACCAAGTAATAATTTATTTGATTTATTTAAACTAAAATTGTATGTGCAATAGGGAACGGAGTTGTAAAATAAATATTCTAAAATTTATTTTAACTTTTAATTATATTTAAAATATAAATATTTTTAATGCAATAAATTTCTTTATCAGTAATTATATAATTTTTACTATTTTAAACTTCATTTAAATAAATAAATGTTTAAGTTTCAAAATTTTTATTTATTTATTAAAATTAAGGAACTTTTAAAATTTTAAACTATGAAATAGAATTCAACGTTATAAAATAAAAAATGTTTGATTAAAAAAATAGAATGGAATGTGATACACTTAAAAAAAATTATGATAAATATTATAATTATTGCAGTGAGCGTAGATCGAACACACGGCCTTCAGATCTTCAGTCTGACGCTCTCCCAACTGAGCTATCCCCGCGAATTGAGAACAAAGATGAAAATAGGCTATTTTATAACTTTACAGTAATTTACTTTACCAGCGACTGAAAAGAAGAAAGTCAATTATATCTCCCAAATGGAACATATTCTCCACCTTACCGTTACTTTGGTTTCTTCCTCTATAAGACTACACAACAGAAGCTACAAAACTACAAAAAAACACCCACTGGTTTGCTTCTTCCATCCATGGCTGCAATTCTTTTTCTTCTCTTTCTCTTCTTCATTTTCCCTTTTACATCACCAACCACAATAACAATCCCCCTTTCTTCTTCAACAAAGCATCCATCTTCCTCAGATCCATCGAAAATCCTCAACAATTTAGCTTCACTTTCTCTCTCCAGGGCTCACCATCTCAAATCGCCTAAAACCAAATTTTCTCTCATCAAAACCCCTCTATACTCTCGTAGCTATGGCGGGTATTCAATGTCTTTGAGTTTCGGTACACCGCCGCAAAAAGTTCAATTTATCATGGACACAGGTAGTAGTCTCGTTTGGTTTCCTTGTACCTCTCGTTATCTCTGTGCAGACTGTAATTTTCCAAATACTGATATAACGAAACTAGATAAATTTATACCTAAACTTTCTTCTTCTTCAAAACTTGTGGGTTGCAAGAATCCGAAATGTGCATGGATTTTTGGATCCAATGTTCAGTCCCAATGTCTTCACTGCGACCCGAATAGTCAAAACTGTACTGATCAAGCTTGTCCTCCTTATGTAGTTCAGTACGGCTTAGGCTCTACGGCTGGTCGTTTACTTGTAGAGTCTCTTGATTTCCCTAATAAAACGGTAACCGATTTTGTAGTCGGTTGCTCTCTTCTCTCTACCCGTCAACCTGAAGGAATTGCCGGGTTTGGTCGGGCCCCCGAATCTCTCCCTTTACAATTGGGTCTTAAAAAATTCTCTTATTGTTTAATATCTCGCCAGTTTGATGACACTCCGGTGAGTAGTGACCTTATTTTGGATATGGGTCCGATTTCCGGCGAGACTCAAGGCGTTAGTTACACACCGTTCTTAAAAAATCCGGTCGGGTCGAACGTAGCATTCCAAGAATATTACTATGTAATGCTAAGGAAAATTATCGTCGGCGACCGGCATGTTAAAGTTCCGTACAGTTTCTTGGTTCCGGGATCTGACGGTAATGGAGGGACTATAGTGGATTCCGGCGCAACTTTTACGTTCATGGAAGGCCTGGTTTTTGATTTAGTAGCTAAAGAGTTTGAAAAGCAAATGGGTAATTATTCAGTAGCAACTGACGTTCAAAAACTGACCGGTTTAAGGCCGTGTTTCAATATTTCTGGCGAGAACTCGGTTCTTGTACCGGAATTGATTTTCCACTTTAAAGGTGGTGCTAAAATGCAACTGCCTTTGTCTAATTATTTTGCTTTTGTTGATCTGGATGTTGTCTGTTTAACAATTGTGAGCGATAATGGGGCTACTCAGGGCGGTCGTAGCGGCGGTGGTCCGGCGATAATCTTGGGGAATTTTCAACAGCAGAATTTTTATATAGAGTATGATTTGGAGAATGATAGATTTGGATTCAAGAAACAGAGTTGTGCATGAGCTGGTTCATTTTGTCCATACACTAAATAATTGAATAAGTCACATTGTATTGGACATTATTATAATTTTAGAGGCTTAATACATTGCATTGACAAAGAGGAATAATTGAAAAATGGGATGGTGGCGGTGGCGGTGGCGGTGGCTGTTGCGGTTGCGGTGGATGGTGGAGAAAATTGTGGGTGTAGTAGTGAGGATTTGGCATGTGAGTGGAGATTGCAAGGATACGGTGAAGGGGGCAAAATATTATCTACCTTTCTTTATAATCATTATTAGAAAAAGTCGACAAAAGTAATTTATAATTGTAGGTTTTTTAATTTTTAGGCAAAGAGAGGATCTTCCTCATCATTGTTATTTATTATTTTAAGATACAACTTTTTGAATTGAGTTTTTTTTTTTTTTTTTTTTTTTTTTTTTTTTTTTCTTCATCGAATTGGTTATTTAGTTATTTTTTAAATTCAACTTGTTTGAATTGAGTTTTTTTTTTTTTCTTTTTGTTTTTTTTTTTTTTTTTTTTTTTTTTTTTTTTTTTTTTTTTTTAATTTGGAGAATGGAAATTGAAATTATTTTAGTCAGAATGAATGCATACCACACACAGCTAGTCCGTTATATTATCCTTTAACTTTTTTCCCCCTACTTATGGACTCACTAAAGTCAGAAATGAAATATTTTGACTGCAATTTACTGTTTTTTTTTTTTTTTTTTTTTTTTTTTTTTTTTTTTTTTTTTTTTTTTTGTTAATAAGGGAATATTACTTCATATTGGGAGATGTCGTGAGAAGGAGAAAGCAGTCATAAATTAACTTTGAAATGAAAATCATCTGTCCAAAGAGGATGTGAAAATACTTGTTAGAAATTAAGAAAATAAATATGTGGCATGCTATAATTTCATTTTTTATCTTATTGTGTATTTAGTATTTATATAAAAAAAATAGAAGAAAAAATAATTAGGTGGATAAGTCTAACTTGACAGGAAAATTATATTCCCTCCATTAATAAATAAAAGTCCTCACTTGCAAATTACAAGATAAAATTTATTCATTTTCTATTGGAGTGGGAAGACTTACTGGTGGTCTCATTACCGCTTTCAATTAATTATATCTGTAGATGGGTTTAGGTACTGTAGTCACGTAAATATCAACTATTCACAGTCACATGCAATAATTAAGAGACGGTTCCACCAATTTAAGAGGCTCCTTGGCCAATGCTTCTAAATGTTTTATGAATTTATTATTATAATTAAATAAATGAGAAAGTAGATAAAATCTACCTAAAATGTACCTTATGGTTTTACGTCTATTCAATTTAAGATAGGTAAAATTCTTTTTGATAAATACAAAACTAGTATTTTATTTTATTTAAAATTAGAAATTAAAATACCTTATTAATTAAGGGTCTATTCGGCAATATTAATTATTATAGTAGTTGTTAGCTATTCTAGTAATTTTGTACTGTTTTAGTAACTGTTAGATATTAATTATTAGATGTTAGTTATTAACTGTTTATATAGTGATTTAAAGCATACGTATTTGATAAAAATAAATATTTGATTAACTACTAAAATTTTAAATTATGGATTGATGTGCAACTCATCTCGGATAATGCTTCCTCTTCAGGGGCAGTTCAGCAGTTAGTGTTTGCTATTCAGCAGCCGATTACACAATTTCAAGGTTGTGTGATCAAACATGTTTATAGAGAAGTGAGCTATTGCGGGGATTACCTTTTCAGATATGCAAGAACCTATCCGTCAAGGACTCATCTTCTCATGCAGCCGCCTCCAGAAATGGTAGAATGACTTCTTCATGATAATATAGAGGTCAATGTTTACTCAGAACGTTGCTCTCCATTTTTTACCAAAAAAAAAAAAAAAATTATGGCAATGGTACTGAAATGGACTAATTGATAAAAAATAAGATATATATGATAATATAGAGGTCAATGTTTACTCAGAACGTGCTCTCATTTTTTACCCAAAAAAAAAAAAAAAAAAAAAAAAAAAAATTATGGCAATGGTACTGAAATGGACTAATTGATAAAAAATAAGATATATATATAACAAGTGTTTTTTTTCTAAATTATTATCATATTTTTTATTTTTTATTTTAATTTTTTTCTATAATAAAAATTATTTTTTATAAAATTAAAATGAAAAGATGACAAATTTTTTTCTAATTTTTATTTAATTTTGACAATATGCTCTTATCCTTGTTTTAAGACAATAGAAATAAAATAATTAAATAATTAAGATGATATATATTCCTTTGAGATTTGGGAAAGAAAAATTAAATAAAAAATAAGAATACCAAATTCAAAGGAGTGTTATAGTAACTAGAATTGTAAGTCTTAAAAATAAGGAAAAAAAAATGGATAAGAGTGTCAAAACATAAAATCTAAAACCCTAAATGTTAAGGTGCTGTTTGTTTTAGATTAAGTTTTTGGTTTTTGGTTTTTTCATTTTTTTCCTTAAAAAATAAACAAAAAACTTGTTTGTTTAAATTTGTTTAATTTTTTTTTCTTTACTTTTTAGAAAACTGATTTTTAAAACAAAAAAATAAATTTTATGAAACAAAAAAATAATAGTTTCTGTAATTATGCTTGTGCTTTCTGTTTTTATTCTACATTCCTCCTTTTCTTTTTCATTTTTTATAAGACTTGTGCTCATAAAGTTGTATGATTATTATTATTATCTCTATCCATATAAATCTAATGTCATTTATTTATCCAAAATATATACCAAAAATATATAAGCATTAGTTTTATTATCTCTATTATTCTATGTTTTTTTTTTTTTTTCAATTCTTCTCTATTAGTAGTATTTTATTTATTATTATTTTCTTATCTATATATAATATAATGTCTATTTAGTATTATTTATTTTATTTACAATACTTGGATATATTTTTTAAATTCAATTGATTGTAGACCATAATAATCATAATTAATTTTAAAAACTTTGAATTTAAAAATTAAAGGTGAAATATTTAAATTATTTTGTCTTAGATTTTTATATTTTTAGTTATTATTTTGTCTTAGATTTTATATTTTTAGATTTTTAGATTTTTTATTATTAACTAAAGTCAAGGGAGAGATTTGATAATTGGAACAATTTTTCACATTATGAACTAAAAAAAAGGAAAAAATAATTTTAGGAAAAAAAAACAATTTTGAGAAATTAAAGTAACCAAAAAAGTAAAAGTAGCTTTATGTTTATAATAAATAAAAAACTAAAAATAAACAATTGTAACAGATGGAGCATAAGGGATTTAACTTTTGATGAAACGCTCCCTAACCTTTAATAACTATTATAAATATTAAGTTAACGAATAATTTAATTGATAGATATAGTGTTTTAACTCATGTCAAACAGGGGCAATTTCAGCGGTTCTAATAGATGTTAGCTATTGTAGTAGATGTTAGTTGTTTTACTAGTAGTTAGTTGTTTGAAATAAAAGGTATTAGATAAAAATAAGTGTGTTTAATATAAAAAGACAAAAAAAAAAAAATGATAAGGTCATAGAGAACAAGACAAAGACAAGTGTTGGGCAAAAATTGATAAAAAATTTATAAAATGCTAAATGTTAATGAGGATATTGTTTGATAAAACATTGCCTCAAATTACGGAATACAATAATTAATTAAAATACTAAATACTACTGAACGCTCTTATCGAATGGAGCGTAAGGCTATTTAATTTACTTAGTTAATAAGGTAAAGTTTAAAATAAAAAAAAAAATGTTTTTTGACAATGATCGAGGACCTTTAATTCAATCTCCCTGCAGTGGAGATAGAGCAACTAGGACCACTCATTGGATATGCACATTACTACATTCAAAATTCTCTACGTTTCGTGTCTAGAAGGTTTCGGCTTCAGTAATTAATAATTATATATATTTCTTACAATTCCTAAAAAAAAAGATTAAAAAAAAGAATACATATTTGCAAAAGAAAGCAATATCCCTTCTTCTTCTTCTTCTTCTTCTTCTTCTTTTGTTATTTGAGTGAAAGAAAATTATTATATCAATTTTTAAAAAGCTGTTAATCCAATAATAGACTAGCAGTGGCTGTGACTTAATTCAGTATCTACAGTGCCCAGACGGTGGAGGGTCATTTTCTTCACCAAGAAGCAAACACACATGGGAATAGAAAAAGAGAAACCATTATCTGATGAAAAAGCAAAAAGGGAATTAAGTGATGAAATTTAGGGGAATTTTCTTGGAACATCACACTCAACGTAAAGACCACTACTAAGTAGCAGGTACTGAAATAGTTCTCAACAAGAAAAGAAAGGACATGGGTTTTTATTTAAGCAGAGATTGTGGGATCATGTGAGTGAATAACAACAAAAGAAAATAGGTACCATAACACATGGTCGTGGAGTATAACTTAGATAAATTATTTTTTTTTAATTATATTTTATGAAGTTGGATTATAATTTTTTTTTTAAAGAAATCAAACCGTAAATTGAAAGGAAATGTATACAGATATGAAATATATATTAATACATTTCTATATTTTTGTATAATAAGTCTAATAGTAAACCATTTATACAAAGATTAAAAAATGAAAATTTTAATTTAAAGTGTTCGATCAAGTCAATAGGCATAATACATGTGTCATAATCGATTGTTTGTTTCACTTGGTGGCTATTCATGGCAACTGTTCGACTTGATGGTATTTCTATAAGTTTAATATGATCATCTATAAGTCTGATTTGATCATTTTCAAATTTTTTCCTTTTATCGGAAAGAAAATATGTATTTCTTGTTGCATAACTACCCAAATAATAAAATATTATAAACAAAATTATCATAATGGTATTAACAATCTAAAGATGACTTGATTTAAGAGCAAAATCTCAAAATATGACCACTGATAATCCCAATAATGGACAAGTTGGATTATAATTTGAAATTTATACTCAATGGCCATTATTGCTAATTATACTAAATTAGTGTGTTGGGGCTAAGTGAATATGAGTGTATGCATTCACTTTTTTGTTTCTTATTTTTATTTTTATTTTTATTTTTATTTTTTTTTGGCTCTTTGGATATTTGGTGTTGGTGGGTTAGTTGCTTATTGGTTTGGTTCTTGTATGTTTTGTCAATTAGTGCTCTCATTTTGCCCTGTCTTTTGTCAAATACCTAATCTTAGCATGCTGAATCACTTTGCTGTGTTGCCAATTAGACAAGAAACCGTTTGCTTACCTCAGTCAATTACCTAACCGCGCCTTTGTTGAATCATGTTTGTGGGTTTTTACATTATAGTTATGAGTTTCCATTTGAGTAAAGTAATATTGGACCTGTTTAGTTTATTTGTTCGTATTAGTTGATGGATGATGACTGATAGCTGTTACCCGATAAATATTGATTGTTTGATAAAATTTTAGTA